GAACCTCTATTCATATACGAGTAACCACTAAAGATAAGGTTTAAAGTGATGAAATCTGTCAGATTAATAAATAAAAGCTCACCATTTCTTTAGAAATCGCTTTGTACGTGTGGATACGAAAGCAGATATGAACGATTCGAGAGTCTATGGCGATTTAATAAGCGTTGTTTACTTATGGTACAACACCGCGAGCATGAAAACATCCACTGAGGATATAGTTCACTCAGTTCTAATTAATCTAGTGAGACCCGCTTGTTAACCATTACACCTCGTCGATGTTCTCCTTTCGAAAGTCTATGGCTATATCTGTCTCTCTGTCTATGTCAGTTTGACTCTTTAGGCACCTTCAAATGTAGCAAGTAATTAGACTAAAAGTTAAATATGCATTTATGTATGAATGTTTTTATCTCTCTGTCTCTATCTCTCTCTCTTTCTGCATATATATATATATATATATATATATATATATAGATATATATATATATTTATATATATATATATATGGGAGAGAGGGTTACATTTAAATATATTTTCATTCAAGCAGGTTTGGTTAAATAATTTAGACGTATGATCTCGAATTATTTTAGTTTTAACGAATTAATGACGAATTAATTTCTTGGTGACTGTAGAAAACTGATCAAGAAAATACCAAAATTTTCTTTCAAATAATTTTAATTTATTTTCCCAAGTACTTTCAAGCCCATCAGAGATCATTTTCAGGGTGTTAAAATATCTGTGAATGTGTATACAGTAGCTCTGTTTACAGTGTTTCAAATTCAAAATTTTTCTCTCAATTATGCAAGGGAGATAACTTTTTGTATCTATCTATCTATCTATCTATATATATATATATATATATATATATAGATAGAGAGAGAGATAGATAGATAGATAGATAGATAGATAGATAGATAATTCATATATATCCACGATATATTTTGATAATTAAGCTTCTATCTATCTATCTATCTATCTATCTATCTATCTATCTATCTATCTATCTCTTTCATCACCTTCATATTTTTTATTAATTAAACTGAAAATTAAATATGCATCTATCTATCTATCTATCTATCTATCTATCTATCTATCTATCTATCTCATTCTGCTCATATCTATCTATCTATCTATCTATCTATCTATCTATCCTTATCTCTATCTATCTATCTCAAATCTTTCATATTTAGCCAAGTATTAATTTGGAAATCTTCTCGCCGCTATCTTTTTTTCTACAAGAAAGCGTTGAGAAAAGGCAACGAACGTTATTCAGTTGCATATTGCATCTACAATCAACTGTACTACGTCCTTCATAAGATTAAGGAAATATTCTGAAGCTATAGAAAGAGGTTCTATATAAACTCCCAGAAACGAATATTACTGACCATTAATCTTTCGTCTCTTTTCTCGACAGACAAGAAATAATCATTGTTTTCTAAAAAATGAACTATGAAAACGAAATCGAAGATTAGACTGGTATGATATCTGACGTACCAGCATCTCAACCTAAGTATGATCTTGTGAGGAAGATTTTCATCAATGATGGAATTCAAATGGCAGTATTCCAAATTGCTGAAACTTAAACAGTTATTGAGCCACATTCGAGTGAGCAATCCGTTTGGTTCAGTGACGCTTTGGAATAGGACAGATTTTTTTTTTTTGGGCTAGGAAGTTGACCGGTACATTTTGCTGCATGACATAGAATCTCTTCTTAGGTTGCAAATATGATGCAGAAAGCATTCAAAGCAACTAAAATGAAAGGTTTCTACGCAAGTAGTTAATCCCCCGCATTTCTCCGCTTTAGACTGTCCATTGTTTCACTCTAAACTGCATTATTGCCTGACCAACAGCTATAACTATTTGAAAATGTTTAAAATAACAAGGCAAAAGATTCTCAACGAATTCACTGATAAAATATCGAATCATTTTTTATGATAGAATAAACAAATATGCGGAAAAAGTGACATAAAATCAACAAAAAAAAGGACAAATCATTTTATTAGATATTGATGGTCTGAATTAAAATGAAGAAAAGGATTAAGGTAAAATATTGCAGCCAAGTAATATCTTTCTTTCTGGCTTCTTCTCTGATACGATTAAGGAGAAATAGGTGTAGATAGTTTTCACCATCGCTCGGATCACATTTCTCCCCTGGTCTTTTGAACAGGTGTAGAGTTTTATCCATTGTTTCCTGTTTAGGATTTTGTTTCCAGTTCTGTCTCTTAAAGACTTCTCATTATATTTCATCTCCCTCCCAGTAGCCCCCTTCCGTTTTAGTGGTATTATCGCCTTGCTTGGGGTGAAATGATTAAAAAAAATGAAATAACCGGATAATTCGTTATGGAAATTAAACAAATATGTATTCACAATATATCTGCCGAGGGATTTAAAGTGTTACGTATTCATCACGTGCTTACCTTTTTTCAGCGTGCTAAATTCTCCAAGCGCTCTTTCCTCATTATATGTCTCAGAAATATAAGTTCTCCCTTTCCGATAGTTAGCAACAGTTTTCTTGTTTGCTCCGATTGTCCTTAAAACTTGCTCATTACCCACATGTTGTCTCCGTGGTATTCTCGAACCACATTTCAGTCGCTTCTTCATCTGTGAAGGTCTTGTTCAAAATTTACAAACATACAAGCGGTTAGATAATACATTGTAATTCATTACGCTTTGTTTTGTTTGCCATGACAGCTTCCTATCCCGATACTTAATTTCAGAAGACATCTTTAAAAATTCCTATACAACGTCGGATTTCTGTGCCATAGTTTCCCTGATCTATTACTTCACTAATTAATGATATAATGAACTTTCTGCATATGCCTGCCAATGACGTCCTCGATGCATGACTCATGGCTTGGGCTGTCTATTTTTCTGACAACCATGAATTTTGTCTTCTTGATGGGTTGTCCTATCATCCGCTTACCTCAACTTCTTCTACGTGCTGTATCACTTCAGGAAGTGAGGTTCTCTTCAACCTCCTATCGTCATCAGCTCTTACCAATGTTTGCCTTTTCATTATCTGTTATAGCATACCTACGGACGATAATGTAAATAGGTTAAATACTGTATGTTGGTCTGCAGTCGGAGATTCGTCTCCAACTGTCCTGGTCAACTCTGCCTCCGGGAAGAGAAGCTACCCAGATGAGGCTATGTCGAAGGGCAAAGTCTCGTCTCGGGAAACAGCTACCCGACCCCGTGTTATACGGAGTCTACGGGGAATTTAGTAAACGCTATCTTATGTATATTGACAATATGATTACAACAGCGTTTTCTAGTTGCTAACGACATTTTGTTTGTTGTTAATAGTTACTTTGTTTTCAATAAATTCATTTCGTTTTTGCCTTGAAAAAGTCCACACTGGACGAAACACGTCGGCTAATAATACAGTTTTCCTATTGTCTTTTACCTTTATACATATTGTCTTTTTCTAGAGGTTAACCCTGAGAAATGATTCACACACACACACACATATATATATATATATATATATATATATATATATATATATATATATATATATATATATATGTAGTTCCAGTGGGGATGTCACACAAGGATGCATATTCCTATTTTACTTAAAATTTAAAGGTTCGGTTCGGGTCTGCGTTAAATTCTGATGCCTGAAGCAAGAGAAATAGAAAATATCTGGCACTACCCGCATACGCTAAGAGGTATAGCAAAAAACAAAAAAACTTTATTCAGAGCTACGAAAATAGAGGAAAACGTGAAGAGTCATGATCGCTCACATCTTGAAGCGACACGACACATAGAAGACGAGGATTTATGGTGCAGTGTTGTGAAGAAATGTCAAATCTACCATTGTGGGAGAAAGTAAATCTTATCAATCGATGATAAGCACTCGATATATCGCAGTTCATCTATCTATCTACAGATGAACAGAATGGTATCAAGATTAGATGTAAAAAAATGAGTTAGATAAAAGCAGAATGAGCTAGCTAGCTAAATAGATAGATAGATAGATAGATAGATAGATAGATAGATAGATAGATAGATAGATAGGTAGATCAGATCACTAATAAACCGATTGATAGATAGATGCTAAAATGACGAGATAATAAAAGAAGAAAATTAAACGCAATCACACGAACGATTAGGCGTGTAATTAAGGAAACAATCTGATAGAACATCGAATTGTCTGATGGCGCAAGCAATTATTCCGATATCAAGCAATCAGTACACTGTAGTGTCACGCATCCAGCCTGCAACTTACAACGGACAATTAGGCAAAATTGAGCCCAACAGTGAAATTGATTAGTCGTTGACAAGGAGGGAAAAGAGACGAAGAAACAAAAAAAAAATAACGTCGGATTCAGATGCAAAGAGAAGTGGAGGCGGGACCGATGAGAATTCTGATAACAATTAAAAAATCAATCGTGCAGGTAATCGATTTGTCTATCAAGCTGACAATCAAGACTTATCAGAAAACAATCAAGCGGGCTGTAATTTGAATAGTTGGGTAAATAGTTTTAAAAATAAAAGAAAAGAAGGTACGATGATAAATTTGTAGACAGTCGGGTAAACAATTAAGTACATACTAGAAGAAATCAATGATGACTGCCGAAGACTAACTGCATAAAAAAGATAAATAAATCAACATTTTGTTTTAGTGGTTGGAGTAGTATCCAAACAACCGAAAGGTTGCGTGTTATATTTCAAACAATGTATCTTATTAAGAAACTCCCCGAAGCTGACGGGAAATTGTTTTTAATAGTCTCAGCTTTATAAAATTTGCGATTTCGCTAAGCGACAATAGGTATAATTTGATAAATCACAATCACTTCTCATTTAACGACTTAACCTGTTTACTCCTTTCCCGGTCTTACGACCAGCTATAAAATCTCATTAAAGCAACAATTAAAAATCTCATTAAAATAACAATTAAAAATCTCATTAAAATAACAATTAAAAATCAAACAAGTCTGCATAGTATATTTTACAAAAACATGATATGCTTATCATTCTTTTCTCTTTTTATGCCGGCTTATGACCACATCACGTTGAAACACAGGTTCCCGTATGATCATCCAAGTTAAGCAACGTCGAGTCTGGTCGGTACTTAGATGGGTGACTGCTTGGGTGTACTAGGTGTTAGACGTACGGTGCTGGGTAATGTATAATGGCTCGGGTTTCTTAATAGGAGAACCGAATTCGAATTCCTGTTGGGTTCGTTATATTCGCTTGCGCAAATAACCTTGGGAAAGATATGAATCTACTGTTTCCCTACCAATTATTAGTAACACATATCAATAGGCCATTATTATCTAAAAAGAAAATTGTTACAATCTAAAAATATTTCGTGGTTTCAAATAATCTGCAAAGGTTTAACAAAAAAGAATCAATTAATCAATCTTTTATCAAGTTATCATTATTTACATGCAATGTATTCTCCTCATTTTTGTTGTTATCACGAGGTTTCTACCGCTGTGCTCTCCAGCCTTCATCAAGTTTAATATCGATGTTATTATCAGCACAACATTTACATACGTTGTGTCTATAATAACTCCTATATCAACACCACTTGCTCCGCAAAATCTGTTTAGTAACAGGATCTTTCTCGGCTCTTCGCTAGAATTACTCATCTGTGTCATTGTCACGCCACTGTTTTTGAAGATTTGCCTAGGAACTCAACTGATGTTCATTTTTGATGTTCTTTAACTCCAACATGAACGTGGCACTGCTACGTGACGTAGAAATCTACGATTGTTTCGCAGTAAAAGTTGCAAGTATTTATCAACACTTTTTGTCATGACTTCAGGTGGTCGGATACTCTGGTAAAAGAGTACTACTGAATAGTGAGGTAGTTTTTCATTGGCTTTGTGCTAAGCTAAGTTTAGTAAATAACAAGGGACTCTTATCACGGGCTAATGGTTAACAAGGACGTTTACTACCGAGTAGTGACCATGTAGCAGGTGGTACTGGGTTACATCGTAGTGTTACTGTATAACTCAGTACTATCTGCCGCATGGAGCCTGAACCACTTTTCCCACCAGAATTTCCGGTTCAAGAGTAAGGTTGGAAACACAACAGGATTAAAAACAAGATCTATGAAAGGGCAGATTAAGCCTTGCACGGTCAATGTCCATCTTGCCCAAATGAGTAAACTGTGATTCAAAGCTATACATGACGCCAGTGCAGTGCTGTTAAGAGGGCTTCTTTGATGTCAAAGGCTAGGGCTAAGGTTTATCTCGATTAAATCGACGGCCACGTGTGTGTAACCAAGGCAGGCCTCGATGATGTAGGAGATCGGCGGTGGTTTGACCGTTATGTCTATTTGCCCAAGACACGTTACGCATGAATGAATACCAATCCGGCTTTCAACCCAGATATGCTAAGGGAACTGGTCAGGTGTTCTGCAGAAGAAGAAGCAGCAACATATTAGGCTAGAGGCCAGTGTAAACATATATCATGTCACGGAGAATCAAACGTACCCTTTTTGTTCAATGAGAGCCGTTTAAGTGTGTTTGGATTTGCGGGTATCGAGTACTTGGATGACCATTCTGAAGAATTGCTGCTCATGTTGAATGTGATACGTCGGAATTGCTTCGATTTTGTCACTAGTGATCAAATAAGAATTCTCACATTCATTGACTAGGTTCTGAACAGCCGCGTAATGCAGACGATTGCTAAGAAAATTTCGTTAAAAACAAAGATTAGCGTACTGAACTGTTATGTAATATTATTCCTCCTATTTGGCAGTGAACGCTGGATAATCTCCCCGCAGATTAAGAGAAAACTGGAAGCAGCCGAAATGTGGTTCTACAGAAGTATGATGAGAATTCCATGGACGGAGGGAGTAGGCAGCAATAAAGTCTTAAAATTGCAACAAAAAGAATTCTTATACTCAAAATCAGAAAGATACAGTTGGAATTTCTTGGATGCATAATAAGGAAGGAGGGCTTGGAAAATCTGATACTCACAAGACAGATTAAGGGACAGAGAGACAGCGGAGAGTTTGGAGAACTTTACCTTCACAGGGCATATCGTGGGCAAGGGAGATAGGGGAGGCAGATGACCACCCGGCTGATAAGCTTGTGTCAATGGATGGCAGAACGGGAAGAAGCCTTGCAAAATCAATAACGATGCTATGGGTCACATGGGATAAGAAGCCGTGGAAAGCCATGACCGTCCACATCTTGAAGTAACACGACAGGAAGAAGAAGAAACATTTGGCTCATGACAACGGCCATCTTGCCTAAAAGAGTAAACTGGGATTCATAGCTATACATGAAGCCAGTGCAGTGCTATTCGGAGGGCTTCTTAGACTGATGTTAAAGGATAGGCCTGAGGATTCCCTTGATTAAATCGACTGCCACGTGTGCGTGACCCAGACTGGCATCCAAGATGGAAGAGATCGGCGGTGGTTTGACCTAAAGAGGGATAAAAACCGTTATGTCTATTTGCCCAATACACGTTACGCGTGAATGAGTACCGATCCAGCTTTCAACCCACCTAGATATGTTAAGAGAACTGGTCAGGTGTTCAACCGCGGAGCAATTCTCCGACCACACCCGGTGGTGATATTACATAATAATGATAGTGTGTGAGCTTGGTCCTGAACGTAATGCTACATGCCTGTTGTCTTGTGGCAAACAAAGAAGAGGTTTATTATATAAGAACTGCATTTCAGCAAAAAATACGGAATTTACTTATTCCTGGCTTTTGGGTACACAAATAGCATTTGTAACTGAGTCAATAAAAGGAAAATCTTGAGACTACAAAAGTGAACAATAAGTAACCAGAGTTAGAGCTTGCATGTGGATGCAACTTAAACAGGAAAAAAAAAGAAAAGAAATATACCGAAGAAAGTAATCAATTGTTGTCAAGATGTCTCATGATTAAAAAAAAAAGCTGATGTATTGTTGAAGGCGTTTAAATGGCCTACTTGAATGTAACGTGATAGTTACATCAGTTAACGTGAGAGTGATGCCGAGAATTGAGTGATAGAGAAAGAAAGACAACGGCTCAGAGAGAGAGAGAGAGGCAAAGAGAAAAATAGAAAAAGAGACGCTGAGATAGAGAGTAAGGAAGGCGGATAGGGATAAAGAATGTCTCAATCGATGTTTTATAGATGTATCCTTTGCGAAATTAGCGAGATCCAAAAATGTATCTATAAGCATAAAGAACTACCTTGTGGCAAAGATAATTACGTTCAAGTCTTTATAAATAAAAGCATGATTCGAATGCTGAATTTCAAAGCAGGCAGGAGTCTTAGACTTGAAGAAATGAAGCAACACAGTTCATCTTATCCATCGAGAAATTGCCTCGTGGTTAAGGTAGTTGTTTCTTTTCCATCTGCACTAGTAATCAGTGCAAGTTGCCCAGGTAAAAAAAAAACTATTTTCAAGGCAAGAAAGCTTTTCCAATATAGAAAAAAAAATGGCGGAGCACAATGTTAGTTCCTCTGCTTTATCCCCATCTTGGCTTGCAACATATTAAGGATAGATTCAGAAATCTCAATCTTGCTCCATTGCTGAGACATTTAAATATTTTCTATATTAAATATTTAACATTTCTATTTTTCTATTTCTATATTAGATATTTTCTATATTAAATATTTTATTACTGAAGCCAGTAATCGTAGTTCGAGATAAAATAAAAGGATTTAGAATACGGATTTTAAAGGCAGGCGTTCCTCACTTGGAGGACTGACATGACAGAACGTTCTTATCTGATCTTGTATATCATTAAACTAATCTTGGAATTATCTATATCTGCAACAATAAAACACCAAAATATGATGTGATTATACTTTCAAAGCTCTATAGAGGTAAAATAAATGCGGTGTAATGTCTCTGTGCCGAATTCTTACCTATACAAGCAGAACTAAACCACTCTGACGAACATGCTGAAGAAATGGTAAATGTCATGGGAAGATGCCAACTATTTATCGGTTGAGACGCACCTTGTGCATCTTCAAAAACGGAAATTGGGTTTATGTTCATTTTCTATACTGCTTGTGTGGGTATCTTTGTGTGTATTTTTTTTTTATCTGTCTACAACCGACATTCCATTGAGATAGGTATTGTATACGGTTAGTCGAGAAAAAATACTTCTTTCTATTTCAAGACAAAACCAGTCTTTTAAAACGCTTTTTGTCCTCTTTCTCCCTGTCTGTCTGTCTGTCTCTCTCTCTCTCATCTTGCATTTCTCTTTCATTAAATATGTATGCACGTGTGCGTGTGTGTGTAAATATAAATACATTCAGGTATATACGAATATATGTAATAAAATACAATTATGTTTAATATATATATATATATATATATATATATAGTCATCGAAAGATAGACCGTTTCGCTGTATCACAGCTCTTCAGTGTGGCTAGAAGTTCGATTACTTCAAGCCAGGATCGAAACCCGACCGGTTTGTATCAGTCAGACATTCTACCTCAAGTTTATCGTCACACGGAAAGGGAAATTTTAACATTTTCTATACGAAATACGTCAGTAGCCTGGAGAGCTCAATTCAATTCAACTGTTGTTGTTGTTGTTGTTGGTAGTGGTGGGGGGGGGGTGCGCGCGCTCGCGCAATAATATATGGTGGGTAAGTAAATGACAAAATTATTGGTTGCTTGCTTGGTTTTGTCTTGAAGCATATCAACATCTATGGGTTATTTAATGCCGAAATCTAATTATCTTGTACGCAGTTTTATTTATTTAATTATTTTTTTTTAAATAATAATGGTTTTATTGATACAAAGTATTAATAATTAAACCATAGCTGGGGGAAGGAAAGGTAGATCCATACATTTGCAGAGAGTATTTACGCGTAAGTGAATATAACGAACCCAACTGGAATTGGAACTCGGTTCTCCAATTAATAATTCTGAACTATTTTCCATTACATCCCACCGCATATCCAAGCTTACAGCATCTTGTATACAAAAGCGGCTACCCATCTAAGTACTGACCAGTCTTGACGTTGCTTAACTTCAGTGATGGTACCGAAACCGAATGACAAAATGGAAGAAAAATAATAAAAGATGTATACAATGTATAAGGAATATACAATAATAACGTATATACAACATATATGAAACAAATATAGATGGTCATAGATCATATGTATGGCGAATAACCTTATTCACAGGTGGTTGCTGGAAGTGCTCGGTTCGATCAAGAAGCCGAGAATTTTTCAGCACACGCATACACACACACACACAAACACACACTCACACACACATATAGTCTTCTCAAATGCTAATAGATATGTATGCATGTTTTGATTTTTTTTTTTACCGTTGCATCGCACACGCATCTACGTTGTCTTTTTTTTATTTCTCTTCTGAATTCAGTTTTTCTTTCTTTCTTTATTTTTCTTTTTTTTTTTCATTTCATTCAGACTTCCTCTTCCGGTGTTGTTTTACTATGTCTCTCTCAAATCTCTTCATTAATTCCTTCTCTTTCTTTCTTTCTTTCTTTCTTTCTTTCTTTCTTTTATGTCTCTTATTCTCTTACGCAGATATTTTCTCTCTTTCTCTTCCCCTCTTTCTAGCCTTTCCTTTTTGTAAGCGTTTCTGCTCTAAACCCTCTCTGTCTCTTTCTTTCAATCCTGATTTTCTCATTTTTACTTATGTATTTTTCCTGTCGATGGCAATAAATAACCTCGTCGTTTTCGCTTTCATCCAGACTTTTCCTTCACCGCATGTGTCTGTGTCTTTGAGACATTTATCATTTTCTCTTTCTTTCATAGCACTTTTGCGTATTTTCTTTCTCTTCTACGGTGACCTTTTTTTTTTCACGCGATAACGTCGCACCAGATAACAATGAACGGTTCCTATATACACTGACAAATGCATCACAATAGCGAAACTATAAAAAAATAAAGATACAAACGGCAAAGAACAGAAAGCTGAATTCTTGCCGTGTATTTCGATGTAAAAGAGAGAAAGAGAAATAAAAAATGTCCACCAAAAAAAGAAACTTACTTAATATCTTTTTTTTTTTTTTTCGTTAATTTATCGATTTAAAATGACACGTTAAACTTGAATAATATGGAAACATCTAAATAAATGCCATCGGTTTTAAATATTTTTAACCAATGAGAATTGCCGACATATTTGTTACGCTTTCTCCAAACCAAGCAGATGGCATTTAATATTTTCAAACAATTAGACCTACATAACTATTTTCCCTGTTTTATACAAAAAGTTGATTTCTGACACGAGCCAAATATTTCTTCTTCTACTTCTTCTTCTTTGGTGTGCCGTATCCCCTCAGGATTTTAACGATCATGGCTTTCCACAGCTTCCTGTCTTTTTATACCATCCCTTCCACTCCGAGTTCTGATATCCATTCACAAAATCTAATAAGGATGGTGACTCTTTGCCTTTCCCACTGTCCCTTTGACCTTAAATATGTCATCCGAGAGTTAAATTTTCAAAGTCTTTCTTCCTCGTCATATATCTTTTTCTGTCTTTTTCTGAATCTAATTGTCCTTTATTTTCAAACTAGCTTAAAAGCCGCACTATCGGGCGGCATTTAAGGGTTCTTGATTGGTCTTTCCGTTTGTTCTGGAGTTTCAGAGTCTCTAAATCTTTGCATATTCTCAACATTGGAAGCTCTCCTAGCTGCTGTTTGATCTGGGTTTTCACCTTCACAGGACGTTTTTTTCCCTTGCTGCACCCTTGGTTCTTTTGTTTGCAGTCTGGGCCTCTGGCCAATGTCTTGTTCTGAGCGATTAATCATTACATTACCTGCATTTCTGTATGGCAATGAATTGAACCAACATATATGGGTCTGTTCTTTCTACTCTGGTCGTTATGCCCAGCTCTCTGTACCCTTCAGACTTCTATTCAACCCATGTTGATCATACCCTGAAAGTTTCTCACAAAGCAATTTCTACAGGATAGACCAGCTGGGTGGTTTGGTGGCGATAATCCATCTTGAACGATGAAGAAAGAACTTTTTGGTGGCGATAATCCATCTTGAACGATGAAGAAAGAACTCTTTGGTGGCGATAATCCATCTTGAACGATGAAGAAAGAACTCTTTGGTGGCGATAATCCATCTTGAACGATGAAGAATGAACTCTTTAGTGGCGATAATCCATCTTGAACGATGAAGAAAGAACTCGTTGGTGGAGATAAACCATCTTGAAGGATGAAGAATGAATTCTTTGGTGGCGATAATCCATCTTGAACGATGAAGAAAGAACTCTTTGGTGGCGGTAATCCATCTTGAACGATGAAGAAAGAACTCATTGGTCGCGAAAATCCATCTTGAACGATGAAGAAAGAACTCTTTGGCGGCGATAAAAGCGCCTGGTATTCATAAGCGGTCACCCATCTAGTTACCGACAAGGCTCGGCGTTGCTTAACCTCGGTGATCGCACGTGAACGAGTGCTTCTACATGATATTGCCGTAAGCCTCCACTGTTTTAAAGCAGGCGATAATCTAATTTACCAAACCTATTTTCATATGATGTCTTACTAGAAGTTACCATCACCATTAAACTAATGTGTGGAAGTCATGTCCATTAAATGCAGAGGTGGACACACTACGGCCTTCGGGCTAAATGCGGCCCGCCAAAAGAATTCATGCGGCCCGCCAAATGTTAGTAAATTTGAAAGAGATAGTTACCAAACAAGGCCAAATAATTGTTACAAGCAACTTGACGCCTAAGTTTAACAAATTGGTAAATGACTGAAGTCAGATACATTATTCTCATTGAGTCATTGAGATCATTCTGTTGCTGAGTTACTTTGTTTTTCAAATAAATTTGTTTTATGGGAAGTTACTACTTCAAAATATCAATAATTTTTTTTCTTCAAACTGAATTAAATTGTTTTCAAACAAATCTGTTTCATGCGATCTTTCTACTTTAAAATCTAAATTAAGTTTTTTTTCTTTAAATTTAGTTAGTTTATGTGTTTTATTTGAAGTTTCTACTTTAAAATATGAGAAAGAATTGTTTTATTTCTTTAGGCAGAATTAATTTGTTTTTCAAATAAATGTTTTCTACTTTATAATATTAATTAATACAATATTTTTCTTAAAACAAAGTTATTTTGTCTTTCAAATGTGTTTCATATAAATCTTCAACTTAAAATACTAATATTTTTTTTAAAGTACTTTAAACTGAGTTACTTTGTCTTTCAAATAAATACGTTTCATGTGAATCTTTTACAGTACTTTAAAATATTAATTAATAAAAAATTAATTGCATTTTTTTTCTTTAAAATCCTTTTTTTTTTTTTGTCTCTTTTAAATATTAAATATTTTCGGTTAATAAACTATTTTTGAATGTGTCCCTGGCACTGAAATGTTTGCCCACCCCTGATTTGATGGAAAAGATTGATATTTCAGAAAATCCTTGTCTAATTACAGTTTTACCTCCAAATGACAGATGTAATCACGAACGTCCTTATGCTCATATATTTGGGAGACAGTAGAATTAAGAGAAGCTGGTGAAATAACATAGATTAAAATACAAAGCTCATAGGAAATTATATCTATCTCAGCCATAAATGATGTTACTATATGCAGCCTCCTTCTGCTTTTCGACACAACGTTTTTCCTACAAAAAGATACCGAGAATACCCTGGACGGAGCGCATAGGTAATAAGGAAGAGAAGTCTTAGGAAATTGGAAAAAGAAAAGGCCATTTAAACTCAGAATCAGAAAGAGATAGCTGACATATTTGGACGTAAAATGAGGAAGACAGTTTTGGAGAAATTGTCGGGATAGTCATAGGATACGTTGGTTGGTTGTTTTTTTCGTTTAGGAGCATATAAAAACCTCCAAGGGTTATTTGATGCCGAAATCTATATCTATAGAAAAAAACACAAGGAAGCTGCGATACGGCGGTGGAAAAGTGACTAGGTGCCAAATCAGGACCGATAATATTGCAGATTCCTCTTTGGATTTTATCATGAATCTCTAAATACATAGGAGAAGGATCAGAGCAGATTTAACAGTAATATTCAATGCATGGACGAATGGTAGTCTTATAAATGTGTAAGTTAGAATCATGTTAAGTCTCGTAGAATCTCGTTCGTGAGAACTACGATAAATGAAGCACTGTATAAGAACTCACTCGTTGTCTGTAAATATAAATATCAAAGACGGTATCTCACGACAAAAGGAAAGATTTCTTTTTAAATGGCAGACCGGGGTCTTTCTTTAAGATAACGTATTTTTAAAGAAGAACAAATTAAAATAAATTCATAGGCTAACACGTTTTAAGAAAAAATCATTAATGTCTTTTTTCTTAAAAAAACATTAATTCATTTTTTTTTCTGAAAAATAATTACAATTTTTTAATCTGGAAACTTTGACATTGACCATAAGTGAAAATTTATTTTAATTTTATGCCAGACTTTTTTTATGTATTGTACTATTGGTCAGCTTCTCTGACTCTTATTGAAAAATTCAAAGCGTGAGGGGCTAATGCCCAATACAAATACATTTTAAATGACTCCTACGAAAAGAAAATTAGGCAAAAATAGTTTTGAAAAATATCAGGTCACGTCTTCAAGGTAATTTCATTATATACTACCACGCCACTATAATAATTACAAAATATATTTATGAGTGAAGACAGTTATTTTATTAATGTTTCCCCCGTCTGTCATCTCATTTTTAGTCTAAAGAAACCGCGAACCCCCCCCAAAAAAAATTTTTTCAGAAAGCCATATTGTTTTTGCACTTTCGGGAAGTTTCTTACCTTACATAATACTAAATGAAATCTATTTCTTTCTTTTTTAGGTTGGATTTGACTGCATCGGATAAATACTTGAAATCTTTTCTTTTCTTTTGATATGTATATTTTTCCCTACTGTTTCCTCCGCGACTAAAAATGTTAATTTCTCATTTGTAACTTATCAGCGAGATAACGCTATCTGATCTTACAGACAAGTACATGCTTGAGTGCGGAAGCTCACTGCAGGAAATTTGCAACTCTGGAATCTGTTCGATTTTTTTTTTTTATTTTATGTTGGGATATTTTAGCATTACTCCATTTAAACATTACTTTATTATGACGAAAAAAAAATCCTGAGTAATTCTATTCCTCTCTGCGAAATCAAAATATGAAACATTCATAAGCAAACGATCGAATGTCTCTACTCCAGGTCTGAATCACGTGACTTGGGGAAGCCATATTAAATTACAGCTCCCCGTTAAAATGTAACAAGGAATAGATATTAATATCCTCTTGGTGTCACTGGCGTTATTGGGATTGAATTTGTCTAGGGAGGAAGACAGTACTTTTGTTAGTACTTTTAAGTTTTCTTTGTGCATTTTCTTTCGCCCTCTTTCTCTTCGAACGGGAAGTGTGACTAAGAATGTCAAAGAGCCAACAACAGGTATGAAAATTCCGTCTTTTCACTTTGCAATACGTTGTCTGCTGGTGTGAACTGAACTAAAAAAAAATCCATAATCTTTAGTTAATGTTTATACAGTCAGAATGTAGCAGAAACTACAGACGTCCCAAAAGACAAATTATTCTTTCCTGCAGTTCTGATCAGAATTTGTTTTCTACAAAGCGGACAAAAGTTTCCCATTCACTCATCAGGAGTGGCTGTTTTTGTTTCCAAGAATGCATCGTTCCTATATATATATATATATATATATATATATATATATATATATATATATATATATAGATAGATAGATAGATAACTAGACTCGTTTCGAAAAACCCTCGAATTTTTGATTTGCTAATCATATCAATCTCGAGGGAAAAGAAGTTTTAAAAAAGAAAGAGCTACAAACATGAACTTCTGCCGACAAAAAAATCGCACAGATGCAAGTCTGAAGCCCAAAGAAAAAACCCCGATACGAGTAACAACTAACTAACAAAAGAGCTCAATACAACCGTAGAGCAGACCTAGATACACCTAGTGAGCCAGACAAACCTACCTAGGTTTCACCTAAACGGATCGTCAGGGAAAGTTTGGATATTTATTTATACAAAAAGGTATAAAATGTGGCACAAGGCCTAAAAGGGGGATGGGGAAGGACGGTCTTCTTCTGTCTTAATTCTTAACCTTAGCTAGACCCAGACACGGACCCAAACAAACCAACAATATTCCTATCACCAAAACAACACATTCACTCATACCTTTCTTACTACGTCCACCATAATACCTCAAATTCTGTATGAAATCCTAACTAATCCCCTATGTACAAATATTGTTCGTGGGAGGGGCATAAAACAACAATTTTTTAAAAAGATCCCCAAATGAGTCTGTACAATATGCCTTAATATTTACAAGAAAATAAACAAAACTTGTGTTAGTAATAAAACCCCACAAAACCATAAATGTGGCAGAAACATCAGTTAACCGGACGAAATCAATGCGGGACTATGAAAAAAAAAGGAACACAATCATTCCTCCAATCATTCACACAGACACACACACATTCATACACAACAACAAATACGAAAAAAATCACACATACGAAACGAAAGGCGTCCCGCATCCACCAGAGAACTGACATCACTGACCACCTAACGAGGGAGGGGATGGAGTTTAAACAAAAGAAAAATAGGGACAGAAATAAAAGGGCCAATGCGCATGCACACCCTAGCTAAGTTAACCAGGAAAAAAAAAGAAAAACTAAAAGATCAAACACAAGAACCTAAACTAACCTAATATCGGGATGGGTTGCTTCTGTTCAACCCTGTTAGGACAAAAATCCTGTACCTAACCGACATCCAAGTGCCACTCTAGGTCAGCCCTTTCACTCTACACATTCGCGCAAGATTTACCCACCTTTTGCCAAATTCTGATGAAGGGAGCCGCCGCCTTTCCGTCCTGATCTTGACTTTAAGCTGATGCTTAAAGAACAAGATCAGTTGGGAAGAGGTGAACTTCTCACGATCATAGAATTCCTTCTGACGCGTCGTCCAAATCACGACTCTCATAACACCTAGTAAGCAACAGAACACATAGTGCTCCTCCTTCGTCAATTGCGGCACCACATTGCTACAAACAGAACTGGCTTCCAGGACAAAAAAACTTTCCCTGCAACATGCGAACCATGAGGCCTTCAACAAACCTGCATTAACGGCACTACCGTCTTGCACTGAAAAAAGGCGTGACCAATGGTCTCGACCTCCCAGTACAGCGACGACAGTTTGATATTTCTCCAAGCCTGCTGAACAAAGTCTCTTGCCGACCCAGAGGGCCCCACGAATCATCAGCCAGGTGAGTGATGCCTCATCGTTATTGAGACATTTCAACCCAGGCGCCCAAGGCCATATCGAGCGAGCCTCCTGCTTCGTAAGACCGAGCTCGCCAATTAGATCATCTTGAACGGCCCCCTAACTAACAATCGATACAATGCCTTACGAGACAACGCCTGGGCGTCGGAGAGGCCATCCGACGTCCGCAAGAGGAGTTTCAAAGCACGACGACA